ACTGTCCCGCGCCCTGCGACCTCGTCAAAAAGGAGCGCGCTGCGGCAGCGGCCTGGCGAGCCGAAGCCAAGACCCCGTCGGTGCAGAGCGCGGGGACGGAGCAGTGCATGGACGCGGAGCCGGACACCACGTGCTACACCGCGGTGACCTACGCCATGAACGAGGGAATCAGCAAGCACCCCAGCATGTACGAGGGCCTCCGGACCGCATCCAGCTTCAAAAAGGTCCAGGAGCATTTGTACCTCAACAACATGTCCAGCTGCGCGATGCCCTGCCCCGACGTCGATGTGGACATCAGCGCCTTCAGCCGCCCGGAGGATCTCCGCGTGCAGAAGAGGGTCGAAGACATGAGCGTGAAGGAGCTGGGCGATTTCTTCAGCGGCAAGTGGGATGGGAAGGTGGCCAGGATCGTCCACGGGGACTGGCAGCCCACCACGACGTTCCAGAAGCGCCAGTATGAGCCGACAACCACGCTGCCGATTGAGCAGCAGCCCCTGCCGGACGTCGACGACGACAGCAATGATGTCGCATGGATGACGTCGACCACTGCCGCCGCGCTCGAGCCAACCGCCGCGGGCGAGGAGATCACTGCTGCCAGTGCCGCCGAGCCCGCCGTGCTTGAGCCCACCTCGAATGAGCCCGCGGCGATGGCCAATGCCACCGAGCCCGAGGCGGCGGCCGCCGAGCCCGAGGCGGCGGCCACCGAGCCTGAGGTGGCGGCCAATGCCACCGAGCCCGAGGAGGCTGCCACCGGCACTACAGAGGCTGCCAACGTCTCAACGGAGGTGGCGCAGGACGGTGACATTGTGGACGAAGCCCCGCCGGAGATTGCTGCCAACGTCTCCACAGACTTTGCACAGGATGGAGAAGTTGTTGACGAAGAAGCCCCAATGGTTGACAATGACGGCCATGACGAGGGGATGAGCTCGTTCGAGGAGCCGGAGCAGGAGACGCGCGAGGCGATCGAGCAAAGGATTCGGAAGCAGCTCATGGAGGAGATGCGCATGGAGACGACGACGGTCGCAGCGCGTCAAGAGACCGAGGAAGAGATGAGGCAGAGGATCAAGGATGAGCTCATGCGCGAGATCGTTCAGAGCAAGGGCCAGTGAGAAGCTTGTGCCGAATCCTGTCCAGGCCTAGTCCCTCTCCTATCCGACGCTCTCCTCCTCCTCCTCCTCCTCCTCCTCCTCCTCCTTTTCTTCCACCATCTTCCTCGGTGTGCCTCCGCTCACGGCCGAGCTCCCTGTTCCAGGCAGTGGGCGCGCCTGGTCACCCTGCCGGCCCGACAATGGCGCCCAGGGGTGCGCTCACCGGGAGGTGCGTGCAGCCCCGCCGCCCTGCGGTCACCGGGCGGCTCCTCCGCCGTGAAGCTCGGGGGGGCAGCACGGAGGCGAGTGCCGGGGGCCTGCTGTGCACTCTTGCGAGCGCGATGTGCACCTGGGCTTGCCGCTAGGTGCCCTGCCGCGCGAGTGCGGCAGCGCGGCGGCAGCGCGGCGGTGCTGTCGTGCCTCGCCGCGCAGGGTACGCGCCCAGCGGCCGAAGGTGCCAGATTCACCCAGGTAAGTTACAACACCTGGCGCACGCGGTCGGGCGTTGCGCTCCGGCCTTGTGAGTCAAATATCAGGCGCGTGGGCAGCGCCGCTGAAGTCCCACTCTGAGCCGCAACATGGCCCGCGCCACATGGCCGTAGCGCGCGGGAGCTCATGTCCGCAGGCTTCGCTCTTCCGTGCGCCCGATTGGGGCTGTGATTTGTGACGGCGGCACTCCCCAGAAGAGCGATTTGGAGTTTTTGTTGGGGCCCTCTCGAAGCCCCAGGGCACCATGACACTGGCCGGGCGCTTGATGTCTGCTAATTCGGGAGATCACTCTTACCTCTAGCGAGTCTGCTGAGGGCCCTTTAGCAATTCTGCTCTCTTGTTGCCTTGTCTAAGGAATGTTTTGCGCGGTTCGGAGAAACCCAGAATTGACGAGCGGACCTCCAGAGCGCCTCGGGCCGCTCCCGGGCCGGTTGGTAGCCATTGTGGGGCGGTCGTGGACCGTTTTGAATTTATCTCGGGCGCCTTGCGCCGTCTTGGGCCCATCTCGGTGACGTTTCGAGCCTCTCGGGGGCCGTTTCCTGTTTTCTTTGGTGTGTGCATGTGTGTTAAGCCTCTCATCGCCAGCGCAGTCACCCTCTGCCCAGCCGCCGACGCAAAAAGTGTGTGTGTGCGTGTATGTGTATGTGTGTGTGTGTGTTGGGGCTTCCTGCGGTGGCGCCTTGATGCTTTCCAGGCCACAGGCCGTTGTGAGCTCTCCCAAAGTCGAACAACATAACTACGAGGTATCTTCACGCCTCTCTTCGCATCTCTTGCGCACCTCTTCGGCGCTTTCCTGTGCGGTGCTTTGGGCCCGTAGGGCTCTCCCGGGCTCGCTTCGGGCGTCTGAGAGGGTCTTGGGGAGGCATCTCTTTGCCGTCTTAGGTACTAGGCCCGTCCTAGCCCTCACGGGGGCGGCTTTGCCAATCCTGGTGCCATAATCCAGGACGGAATGTGCCAGTCGGGAGGGGTGTGTGGAGCGACGCGCGCGGAGGAGCGCGTGTAGGGCGGGGGGGGTCGCTGAGAAAGTGGCGTCCCTGCCGCATCCGCCATACAGAGCCAGAATCACATCGGCAGCAGAGGTCCTTGGTATGAGATCTCAAGGTAGGAGTGACGTCTGCCAGTGGCACTTGAGCTAGCATTTCATTTCTGCGCGCCAGCTGCTCCTGCTCCTGCTGCTGCTGTTGCTTATGCTCCCCTTTCTCCTTCCTCCTCATTTGTTTTCGCCATCCCTCTCCATCCCTCTCCATGCAAACATTTCATTGTCTCACCGCCAGTCGAGTCGGTAAGGGAGGCCGGGCATTTCGCTTGAGGCCTCCCCGCGCCTTTTGTTCCCGAAGTTTGAAAGTCCCAACAGGTACACGGACGATCAAGTGGTGCTCGTTTTCAGGATGGAGCCATCGCAGCCCCGCGCATGTCTGAAGTTTCCATCAGTTACGACGATTGGGAAGGCCGTTCTCAAAGTGCGTTTTCCGTCTCAGCGTCGCGCGCTATCGTCTCAGCGTCGCGCACATTCGTCTCCAATGGTTCCAGCAGTCAAATTTCTGGAGGTGGGGCCATGTTCAATATGATTGCTCTCCCCGTAGCGCCGCGCACAATCGCTCCGAAGCGCACATTCATCTCGACAGATGGGGTGCGGCTCCTTTCCAACATGCGGCGTTTGTATGTCATGGCCCGTACGCTGCTTAGACAAGTGCAACAGTCGCACGGATCAAGGGCGACGGTTGGGAGGTTGGCGGGGAGGCGGCATGGCCGCCTCAGGTTGCCGCCAGCCCCCGCGCGGAGGCGGGACTGCCTCCGGCCCCACCCCATGGCTCGGGTCGTGCGCGACGGTTGCGCGGCTGGCGGGAAGGCGGCGGGGTCGCCTCGGGCAGCCGCCAGCACCCACGAGAAGGCGGCGCAGCCTCCCGCCCTCCCCACCAGCGCGGGCCGTCGGCGGCGGCCCCCGCGGCGGAGACCCCGCCTCAGGGAGGTGTCAGCGCTGGCGGCGCGGACGCGCCTGATCCGGCCTCCTCCCCGGGGGGGCGGAGGGCGACGGGCTGGACGCTGGCGGGGTGTCCGGGGAGCTGCTCCTGCAGGCGCTGCGCGAGGGCCCGGATGCTTCGGGCTCGGGGCCCGCTCGTGCGCTCGCGCCGGCGCTGCGGATCGCCGTGCGCGGGCTGGGCTGCCGCGGGGCGCGGGTCCCGGCTCCCGGAGCCCGGCAGGGCGATCCCCGACGCAGAGGGTCGCCGGCGGGTCATCGGGCGGGTGTTGGCGGCGGCCGAGCGAGCGCGGCGCGGGTGCCGCCCTCCACGCGGGCTGACTGGTGGGGCCCGAGGCCCAGCTGGGCTCGGCTGAGGTCGAGCTCCGGGTGGTCCGCTGAGGGCCTGGATGCGCGGCGCGCGCGTCCGTCGCGCCCCCCCCCTCTCCACTCCTCCCCGCGCCACCCCCCCCGCCCCCTCCTCTCTGCGGTCGTGCCGTCTCTTCGTTTGTCGTGTTCTTTGATCTCTGCCAGTGGGCTCTTCCTCGCGCTGGTAGAGAAGTGTGGCTTGCATATGGGCACCCTATATCTCATAATGTCCAGCATCTTCATGCCCAACAGATACACGTGTGGAATGATGCTAATTCCATGTTCGTTTTTTCTGGCAACCCCTGTACATTTACATTCTGGCCTCTGGAGTTTTCCCAATAATGACACGGATTGGTAGCGGATCTTCTTCAAGCAGGCATCCCACATGACTCGAGGGCCCATGAAGCGTTCGGTTTTTAAGGGAGCGCTCCCAGTAATGTGTCGCAGCCACTTTGCGGAAAGGGATTTGGAACGGGTGGTTGCAGCAAGATTGGTTCATCCTTGGTTTACGCTGGACCTCCTCCTCCTCGCCCTTCCTTGATGCCACTTTTTCACCTCTCGCCTTCGCCTCTCCCCCCCCCCATGCTGCTGCACCTCCTCTTTCTCCTGCACCCCCTCGTTCCTCGGCCCCGAGTGTCAAGCTTGTGCTATCGACCAAGGAACTGAGTTCGGACTGCGAGTGATATGGACGAGCGCGCGTTCGGGCAACACGCAACTATACAGCTCGGACGAGTGGTACATGACCCAGGTATTCTCCACATCGCTGCACTGCTCATCTCCAGTCTGGCGTCACGCCGCCACCGCATGACAGCAGCCGCATTCATATCCTAGCCGCCTGATCCTTCCGCTCGCCGTAGTCATGTATGCTCCAGATCGTCCGCGGCCCAAGCATCAGTAGTGCTGCCACGATGGGGGCGAGATGGGGGGACGAGTGGGAGCAGCAGAGGCTCGACCAGGAAGCTTTCGTCGACGGCGAGTGGCCCATCGTGTTCGGCCCGGCAAGCAACCGCTGCCTGACAGGTCCAATCTCCTACCTAGTCTTCAAGGCCGTAGAGGCGCTGATCGTGACAGGGATCACGGGCTGGAGCTTGTACGACCGCTTCGTTACTATGGACTGCGGTGACAAGTACCTCATCTACCTCACCCATTGGTCATTGTTGCTTCAGGTGTACTACGTCTGGATATCCCTCTGGGCAGCGTGCCGCATCTCATCGCCTAGGGGAGGCTACGAGCCCATGCCGATGACTGTCGGCGCTGCTTGGGTGCTCGCCGACATCTCCTTGCTGCTCTCCTTGTTTGTTTGCGTGTTTTACTGGCTGCTGATATTCCCCCACCAGCTCGCCATGCCAACCACGCTGACGTACCTGACTCATGGCGCAAACTTTCTCATCATGTTGCTGGACACTGTGATCTCGAGAACGCCACACCATCTACTGCACGCGGTGTATTTCGCTGGTGTTTGCGCCTCGTACGTACTGTTCTCGCTTTTTTATTGGGTGTTCGACGGGAGAGACTGCAGCAACAATCGCTTCGTCATGAAGGCGCTCGACTGGAACGAGTGGGATTCGTGGAGCACGATCCGTGGCCTTCTTTTGTTCCTCACTTTTCCCATGGCTTGCATAGTCTTCTTCTACCTCTACGCGATGCTCGTTCTGTCGCCTCAGCGCCAGGCGGCGGCCAAAGACTCCTGGATGCCGGTACGCCGCCATGCCAACGGGCAGCGCAGCTTGAGCTGCGGGTGCTGCAGGAGGTGACGGACGCTCGCTGGAGGAGAGCGGCCCCCTGCACGGCTGGTGGCGCGCATCTTCGGCTGCCTGCGATGAGCGGGATCCGTGCCGCCGCCCTTGGCCCGAGGGCGCACGCAGGCCCGGCTCCAAGCGGGCGGGTGCCGGGGTGTTGCTCCCCACCCCTCGGAGCGCCACCCTGGGGCGCCCAGCTCCCCGGCACATCACGACCGCAGCACCATCCAGCGCCGAAGGCGCCCGTAGGCCAAAGTGCGCGGATGAGCGGGTGCTGGCGGAACTGGCCAGTCACGCCATCGGGGGGTCTCACAGTACGGCTGCTTTTTGCCCAAGGCTGCTCTGAGTAGGTGTGCGCTCACGCCGTCCCGCCGACCCCATAACAAGAAGAGAGGGCGCCCTGCCCCAGGACGGGCGAAGTGGGCGAGGAGATGTATACTATGCAACAGCAGTGTGGTTCGTAGGCGTATAGGAAGAGGCGGAAGAGAGGGTGAGGAGGGGGCATGATAATGATCGGGCCATTTTTTTTGTTTTTTTTGGGGGGGGGGGGGTGGAGGGTAGGGGGTGGAGGGGAGGGCAGGCATCTCGAGCGATCAACCTCTTTCTTCCTGAGTTGGTGATGTCAACAACATCAGAACCTAACAGCCCATCTCTTCCAACCATTCGATCAAGATGCTGAGTTAAGGAGCAGTTTGGGTTCGGGAGGGAATCGGTGCTCCTCGGGTCCTTCCACGGTTTTCCCCTGGGCGCTCCTCGTGCACCCTGGTGCATTCGGGGCCACGCAAGGAGTTTCGCTTCTTATCTGAACGTGCCTGTCGGTAGTAACCTGACTGCAGGAGGAGGCGGAAGAGGGGTAGAGAGGAGAGGGAGGAGCATCAGGAGAAGTTGTCGCGGTCACGGGTAGGGAGGGTGCGAGTCTCGAGCGATCAGCACTCTTCTTCCGTGCTGGTGCTGTTAATGACCAGAAGACTTAAGAGCGCAACTCTCCCGACCACAGCGCTCAATGTGCCCTGCGAGTGTGTGGTTGGGCTCCGGCTTCTGCGCGCGCGTGCATGCCGGAATTGGTGGCAAAAGTCAGGGTGAGAACGCCAAAATCCTCGAGCACTCGTGTTTTCTGTCTTTTTAGCCTTTGTGGGATCTCTTGGGGAGCATTTAGGAATAGTCTGAGGCCCAACGAGGTCCATCGCAAGAGCCACTATGGCCCATCTTGGGTCGTTGGGCTGTCTGCGGCCGTGTGTGTGGGCCAGATGGGGAGCCTGCTAGGGCCCATGGGAGGTGCGTTGAGGAGCTCGCCCCCTTCAGACGTGGTGGATCTGGGCCCCCCAGGGAGGCGTAGCAGGGAGATGGAGACAGCGATGTATCTCACGCGCTTGATGACCTCCAGCATGTGGCGGCCCGCTGAATGTCACTTGTACTATGAATGCCCCGCGACGCTTTTGTTGTATGCCATCGGCTCAGACAGCTGAACACCAGTGCTTTGGGCGTCGTGGGACGCTCTCATCGGGAGACGCGTCCACCATCACAATCGCCATCCTACCCCTTGTCCTCGACTTTGTCCTCCTGTTCTTCGACTCTGCTGCTGCTCCTCCTCCCGTTCCTCCTCGCCCCGCTCATGTTTATCAATCTCTCGTCCCCTCCCCATCCTCACCCTCCCTTCCCCTCCCTGCGGCCTTCGGAGGCACCTCAGGGGCACCAGCGTGCAAAAGCCTCAATCCTCGACCCTCGTCCCCTCGCTCTTCTCCCCCTCCCCTTCCTGGAGCCGTCCCCTGCCGCCAACGAGGAACCGCCCTCCCAGCCTCCGAGCTGGTGCCCCTTTCAGCCCCCCTGGGTGACTGTTGAAGGAGCACCTCGGGTCACCCGGTCTGGCTCGCTGGCGGGCTCCCGGCTGCGGCCTCACCTCGGGAGTCGAGGTTCGAGGCCTTGGGACGGCCCTGTTTTCCCCAGCCCGCCTGTGTCGAGGCCTTCGTTTTTGAGCAGAGCGTTGGAGATCCTTCTCCCTCTCCTTCCCTCCTCGCATCTTCTCCTCTGGCCTCCGTTCTTCCTCCCGGCTCCCTCTTTTTTCCGAGTCCTCCCGTCGGTGTGTACCCGTCTCGAGTCGAGCAGAGCATTGCCCCTCGTTCCCTCCTTCCTCTCCTGCTACCTCCTCGCGCCTGCTCCCTCCTCCTGCCTCCCGACTGCCTCCCGACTGCCTCCTGCCTTGTCCTTCCTGGGTGCTGCCAGCTGCTCCAAACTACGCAACCGTTGCCAATTGGGCCAATTTCGGGGACACGTAAGACTCGAGTGCGCCAGAACTCGGGTTCACCGACGCGTGCTGGATTTGACGGTGTGGCTGTCGTGGCATGTTTGCGGCGGGAGCTCGCGTCAGATTTCGGCCTGGGGCTCGTCATTCGCATGATGGCCCCGTCAGGCCAACCCGAGCCTCCGAACCCGAGCCTGACGTCTCCCAGACAATTTCTTGAGCCCGTGGGGGGTCCAGCGGAGTGCGGAGAGCTGCCCGAGCCCGAGTGGGGCCTCGCCCTCCTTGTGGGTGCGGTCAGCCGTGCAGCTGCCGCCGGTCTCTCGTGAGCTCCCGGGGGGGGGTCCGGCGGGGTGCAGCGCCGCGCAGACTCGGTGCGGCTGGCTGCGCGACCAGGCCGCCTCGACCTGCCCGTGCCGGAGAGGAGCACGCACCGTGCGCAAAGCGTCCGTGCGTCAGCACGCTGCGTGTTGGTTCGGCACGTGCTGCTTCACGGTTCGGCGAAGGTATCGCGCGGAACCTACGCTTTCAGTTTGCGTGTTGAGCTCCGTGTCAACACGCTACGTGTTGCGTGTTGCGTGTCGGGGCAGCTAAGCTCGTGAGCTCCTCAACGGAACCTCGCCGTCTCAGGGTGCTGCACAGTCGTCGTCGCCGATCGGAGGGCATGGCTCCGCGACCCTGATACCGTCCTCCGTCGGCTCCTTGCGGTCGTGCTCGTCCTTGCTCATGATACTCACGCGCCTCATTCATAACCTTGCCTCATAGTCCTATTCGTCATCGTCGTCTCTTCACTTCTTCTCCGCCGATGTGGCCTTGTACACGTTCTATTGAGCGTGCAGCGAAGGGGTTCCCATGGTAGCCTCAACGGCAGACCACGCGGCCTATCGCGTGCTCTTTCGTTTTGGAGGGGCCCACGGATATTGCAATCTGCTGCAAATGGGTCGGGTAAGTCCCTGGGTGGTTTGGACAGTCGGGACCTTGCTGGGTATCTGGATGCCAGTCGCGGTCTTCAGGGCTTCTGGGGGAGCTGCGGAAACCCTCTGGAAGCTTCTGTGGAGGCTTGCAGGAAATTCGAGTGACCTCTGGGGCTCAACCTTTCTTGCCTTCCGGCTGCCCATCAGCTGCATGCCTAGTCTGGCATGCCCATCTTCCGCAAGGCAAAGGCTATCTGCTTCTAAAAAGAAAGTGTCTGGGGCAAGTGCCACATGCCCTATAACCTTCCCAGCAACAATCGTCCATGGGCACATTAGGTGTCGTCGCGTATACAGACACACTTGGGGTGGATGCGTCTATAGACAGTGCGGCTATTACGTACGGCGCACTACAAGGTCGGAGCAAGGGTACATCCGTCTATGAGGTGTTCTTGTTCTAGCTGGGTAGTCGAAGGCCAGACTGTCAGATTGGATTGGGCCCCACGGGCCAATCTGGCCTGGCCACAGTGGATGATTTGGGTTATTCGCCAGACTGGATTCGCGTTGGCTCCCTCGCCAGATTGCCCCCGTTTGCCAGATTGGGCCTGCCAGATTGGCGCCAGATTGGCTTCGACTACCCAGTCCAGAGCCGGCCCCACGTGGATGCATTGGCGATGCGGCGCGATCCTTCGACCCCATCTACCCGGACCCCATCTAGGAGGCCTTTACACGCGCACCGTGCAGCCCGGCGACCGCCACCATGGAAAGATCGTCGCCGCCATTTGTGCCACCGCCTCCGCACCGTCACTCTTGGGGGCACTGGGGACCCGCCGTCCGTTGCCGTCGTCGGCTCCTCCCCGGAGGGGTGAGACCGCGGCGGATCTCCCGCCCAGCCCAGGCCTGCACAATCTCAAGCCCCAGCCCCTCCCGGCGCCCATCCTGACCCTCTTCTTCGGGGCAGCTCCGGCCGCCGCGTCGAGACGCCTCCAGGAGGCCCAGCATGACGACGAACGCAAGCGACTGGCCCTCCTCCGATGTTCTCCCCGTCGGAGCAGGCGCCCCCCGCCGCGCGTCTGGCGTAAGCACCTCTCGCGAGGCGACGGCGTGCAGCTCGCCGGCGGCGGCTCGGCGTGCCGGGCGAGGCAGCAGCCGCACTCCGCGCGGCGCAGTCCGCAGCTGGGCTGGGCGGGTCCCCCTGGCAGTGCGCTCCGGTGTTTCCTCTTGAGGAGCGGGGGAGGAGGCTGGAGGGAGAGCAGGAGGCTGGAGGCGGATGAGGTGGACGATGGTGCTGGTGGTGATGATGATGTTGATGCTGCTGATGCTGCTGTTCATGATGATGCCGGTGGTGATGACTGTGGCGATGAGGATGATCCTGATGTTGATCATGATGGTGATGCTGCTGCTGATGACGCTGGTGATGAGGATGGTGATGATGATGCTGCTGATGATGATGATGATGAGGATGATAATGCTGCTGATGATGAGGATGACGGTGGTAATGATGAGCATGATCATGGGGATGAGGAGTAGGAGGAGGAGTAGGAGTAGGAGGAGGAGGAGGAGGAGGAGGAGGAGGAGGAGGAGGAGAAGGCGAGGAGATGACGGTGGAGGCAGGGAGCGAGAAGAGGAGGGAGGGAGAAGGGGGGAGTACGGAAGAGGGTGAGGATGAAGAGGACTAAGGAGTGAGGAGCGGGACAATGACGAGTGGCAGAAACTTGCCATCGGAGCTGTGCTGATTCGTCATGCATGTGTTTCCAGGAGGGGGTCTCTGGGATGCTCCCATGTATCCCTCTGGGAACATCAGGTTGGAGGAGAAGGGCGCATGAGGGATGCGCATGCATCCTGCAGAGCACGATGACGCGGAGGAGTTGGAGAGAGGGGGCCGCCAGGGCATGAGGCAGTGGCAGAGTCGCGAAGCCCCTGCCTGCTGTGACCAGCTCGGAACATAAGCCTGATCCTGCGTTTGGCATCAACTTTTAAGTCGGGCCTGTCCCCCTGCAGGGGGATTTTCGACGAAAAATGAAAAATACCCTAAACATAGTCAAACAATAATCCAAACATAGTCTTGGGACTATTTTTTGAGTATTTGTTGACTTGTTTGGGGTATTTCTGGGCTATTTTTTATTTTTCGTCGAACATCCCCCTGTAGGGGGACAGGCCCGACTTAAAGCTCGGAACATAAGCCTGATCCTGCGTTTGGCATCAACTTACCTCGGCGCCGATCTTCAGGATTCCCTCAGTAGTTTTATGTCTGGCGTGTCCCCCTACAGGGCCCCAAACATGCCCCCCAAAGGCAAACCAATATTCAAAAAATAGTCCCCAGACGATTTTGGGATTAATGTTTGATTATTTGTGGGGTATGTTTTAAATTTTTTCGTCGAAAATTCCCTGTAGGAGGACAGGCCCGACTTACAGTAGTTTCAGAGTGCGCATCCCGCAGCTTGCCTTCGCCTTGGGTTTGGCGGTCTTAGAGGTAGGGATACGTTAAAGGCTGGTGATCGTCTGGCACCGGGTGTTCCCTAAAATGTGCTCGGAAGGGTGAACAACATGTTCGTGGGCGGATGTTCGCAGTCTGCCCATCAGCGGTTCAGAGCCATCTTCTCGCTGTCCACGGCCGCTCGGTGGAGGGGAAACAGAGGTGTTCAAAACGAGCGGTTCGCAAACGGCTCGGGAACACATGAGCGACGCATAATTATTTGCCTTCGAGCGATACCCACCGAAACTTTCGGCGTTTGTCCCCAACGATACGCGCACCTACTGGAACGATTTGCGCGGGGCACGCTCGTTGCCGCACCTGTGTTTTCTTGTGGCCAGACGCAGATGCTGCGTTTGACAGTGCGCCCTTAATCTGTTGTTGCAGTGTTTTAGTGTTTTATTATATTATGCTGGGTCAGGCTCTATTCTGCTATGCTGCACTATGGTATGTCATTTTGTCGACGGGACGGCGTGACGCCGTGACGCCTGTCACGTTCGATACGTCGTCCGATCGGTCGCGTTTGCTCATGTTTGTGACTGTGGTCGGGCTGACCTCGGCGCGCACGTCGCGCTTGATAATGTTCTGGTACGGCCTACTTTCTCTATGAAGCTCCTCTTCAAGTTTGTGTTTATCGTCTGCGGGAGTGTGCTCTGCTATGCTCACCTCTGTCAGTGTACGGTTTGTCATGATCTGATTTGTTCTCCTCTATGGAACAGCGCTATGACATCATACGTATGCTCTGTCAGGTCCGGTGATGGCCTGTTAGTCTGTGCAATACTGTTTAGGTTATGGTCTTTTTGCTGCCGTATATTAAATCTGGTGTGGTATGACATACCTCTTCCATGAAGCTATAGCTAACCATGCCATGCCAGGGGTACCAGTAGTACAACAATTCTGCTATGCTATGCTGGTTGCATACAGTGTGCTTTATTCGTTTCATTATGGTGATTTGATCATGCTTTAGCATACGGTGCTGTATTATGTCTGTTCTGTTCTCGGCGGGCCGATGTGACTCCGTGACGCTTGTCACGATAGATACGTCGTACGATCGTTGGTTGCTGCGCCTGGTTGCTCCTGCAGCCATCCCCGCCTCGGCGCGCACGTCGCACTTGATTATAGTGTAGTACAAACTATTTTGTTGTATTCATGTTGGATCCTCTTCTGTTGCAGTATGTTCTGTTACGCACTTTTGTCACACAATGCTTTGATGTAGTACGTTATGCTCTGCTCTGTGGCACCGTGTCATGTCATGATATGTCATGCCACGTTATGTTGTGCTGTGTGCGTGTGATGCGGGTTACGCTACGTCGTGCAATGATTCGTATATCATGCTGTGTTATGGCATGCCAGGGCATTCCTCTGCAGTATTTTGCACTCTAGCATGTTTCAGAACATTCGTTGCAGGCCTTGCGTTGATCAGTTGAATTATGCTCGATGCTGCGCCATGTCATTCTTTGTTGCGCCATGCCATGTTATGCTGTGCGATCTTACGTATGCTACGACCTGCTATGTCATAGCATTTGATACCGCGCGCTGTCATGGTATGCTTCATCATGCTCTGGCACGTTCCATCCTGAGCTGCGGCTGTATGTTTTGCTATGGTATGTCACGGTATGGAATGTTGGGTTCCAGTTTGGTATGTTCGTGTTTGTTATGTTAGGTTGTTCCCTGCTTGTTGCTATGGTGTGATCGGCGTTGCCATCACATGCGTTGTTCTGCTGTGCTGCGTAATACAATGTTCCGACATGTTTTTGCATGCTCTGGTCTGCTGTGCTGGTATGTTTTGTTATGCTATCCTGCAGGCTGACATGTTATGCGACGCTCTGGCTGTTCACGCGTTGTTGTGCTATGCTATTTCATGACATGTTGTGCCATTGCCTTTTGTAATCTGCAACGTCACGTCATGACGTGATATGTTGTCGTATGCTATATTGTGTATGCTCCAATCTATACTTGCATGCGTTATCATGCTTTGAAATGTTATGATGTTCGATACTAGATGATGTAGTGTATGATCCGTTCTGTCGTGGCATGCTGTGCTATGCTATAGTTTTGCTATAGTAAGCCCTGTTATGTGATGCTGCGTCATGTTCTGCTCTGTTCTGTCATGGTATTATGTTGTGCTCTGCTCTATCATGTTTTGTTATGCTCAGTTCTGTCAGGCTCTGTCGTGTTCGTCGTCGGCGCGAGGGTGGTGTCTGGGGGGATTCTCGGTGGACCTGGGGATCTGGCGGCCGCGGTATGCAGAATGGCCGGGTTGGCGCGAGTCGGGCGTCTCGGGGGATGCTTGGTGGACCCGGATTTGGCGGCCGATGTATGCAGAATGGCCGCGTCGACGCGAGGCGGGCGTCTCGGGGGATACTCGGTGGACCGGGGGGTCTGGCGGCCGCGGTCATCAGAACGTCTGGGTCGGCGCGAGTCGGGCCTCTCGGGGGATGCTCGGTGGACCTGGGGGTCTGGCGGCCGCGGTATGCAGGATTGTCGGGCCAGGATTGTTTTTTTTGTTTTTTGTTGTTTTTGTTTTTTTGTTTTTTTGCTTTCGTAAAGAATCTAACGGCCCCAGCCTGTCTGGTGGGGAACAGCGGGCTCGTCTGTGCCGACGTTGGCGCGGCAGCTGCGCGCGCCAGGTCGCGCGTAGGCGCCTCCGTGACCCATGTGGCGCTTTTCGTGCCAGCGGCCAGCGCAAGCCACCGCGTGAGGTCTCTGCGCCACACCTCGCGCAAGACCCGTTTTGCATCGTCGATCGCGCGCTCTCAGCCATGCGACGTCCTGATTTCTTCGCTGCGCGGCTCCTGGAAGCCCGGCCCTTTCCCCCGGACCGGCCTCTCACCCCGCGCCGTCTCTTGACGCTCCCGAGGCCTCGCCCGCGGGCCAAGCCTCCCGTCCTGGCTCTTTACGACGCGATCGTGCCTGGGTTCGCGAACGATGTCCAGGAGGAGGAGGACGAGGAGGAGAAGGAGGAGGAGAAGGAGGAGGAGGAGGAGGAGGAGGAAGAGGAGGAGGAGGAGGATGAGGAGGAGGAGGAGGAGGGGGAGGGGGAGGGGGAGGAGGGTCAGGCCTGGGCCTGGCACGCTCGGCCGGCCCTCGCCCTGTCTCGCCGGCCCCCTCGCGCGCGGGCGCCCCGCCGCCGCGCACCGCCGGCGGGGGGCCACCATGCTGGCGGCGCGGGGCGCCGCGGCTGCCTCCCCGTCGCTGTGCCTGGAGGGCGCGGGCGGGCTCACCACCCACCAAACCACCCCAACCCAACCCGAAGGCCCAGATTTACCCTCGATTTCCAGTGGGGGGGGGTCGGGAAACGTCGAAGAAACACATGTGGAACCCTTACCCCCCCCAACCCGAAATTCGGGTCTTCGGGTTGGGTTGGGGTGGTCTGGTAGGTAGTCACGGGCGGATCCTGCGTGAGGGCTCTGTGGCGAGGCGGGGTCGCATCCGCCCAGACGGTCCACATCTTTTACCCAGGATCGAGGAGGGAAACAAAAGCAGCACAGGCATGAACCTTTCGGGCCCCGCCTTCTTGGGTCTGCGCTGGGCCCCCCTCCCCGGCGCGCGGAGCGCGCCAGGGGCGGCGCTGGAGGCTCCCCCAGGGGGCCCCAGCCCAGATCCAAGAAATCCGCGCGGAGCTCCGAAAGTTCATGTTTATGCCGTGCTTTCGTTCTGTAACGACCCCCGGCGGGTGGGCGAGAGTCAGGATCGTGGGCCTGGCAAACAAGAATCCCTCCCGAGGCCGTGGTCTTT